AAAAGTGTGACCTTTTTAAAATTCAAAGAACAACAAAGATCGATATCACTATGATATATAATTCAACAAATGATACAGTTAATTTGTTGCTTGATATTTACTTGTCGTAATGATTAATGAAGTAAATAAATTAACACATATATAATCACAAGAACACCAGATTTAAATAAACAGAATCAATTACATTTATATATAGCAAGATTTACCATATCATAATTATTTGCTGAAAATAATGACCAAATGAAAGAATTTTGTATAACTCTCAGATGGGTTAAAGTTCATCAGCTAATGAAAATACAGACTTTTCTCAGGAAAAGAGAAAAATAGGCATTACTTTAATGTAAAAAACCAAAATCTTTGTCGAAGAAAGTGAAGTTATGATATGCAAAATTTTAAACTTATCTAGTAACCATAGTATAGTTGAAAACGCTTAACTACAGCACAGTAACCTAAATGCTCTAATTGACAATATAGTACAAATATGGTAGTAGTATATCTAGTATATAACACTGACCAGAATATTAACACTATAATTGCTTAAAACTTTTAAACTGAAAAGAAAAAAATTGTCCACCACATGCTATACCACAATCTAGTTTAACACTCTAAATAATTTTATCAAAGAAAAATAACTTCTATCCTAACATTAGTCGAAAATACTTACTGCAGTTCTTTCTGGTCATTGATGTATAAGAATCCATGAAGAGAAACTGCGAATTCCTCATTGTCCTCACTGCAGAAGTTATGGAGGTTTCGTCATAACCCCTCTCTATACCTTAACTGGAATATTGTTTGTCACTTCATCAGACTAAGCAATAATTGTTCACAGATCTACATACCTCCCCGAGGAGCCTGTAACCTCGGGATAATTGCTAATAGAATTGAATTATATCATTGTACATATATAATTACTTTTTTATGCTCATTTCTAAATACAATAAATAACGACTAAAGATAACATTTAGTAAAAAAACTATTCCAAATTCTAACGTGTCATGGAAGTGATGATTTTTATTAAATGAAGCTTTTAATATTCTCTGATTTCTTAATAGCAAGCATCTGCTCCAATTTTGAATATTTTTATTTTGGTTCTAAACTTACTAACTGCGTTTCATGCAAAGTTTTAAACAAATTTTACTTTTATTAACCGATGATAATATTAGAAAGATGTTTCGATTGTAAATATTACCAGATGCTCTTTATGTTCACTGTTACGAACACATCAAACCAAGACTAAAATGAGGACAATATTTAAAGTTTGTTTTACTGAAATAATTTGCAAATTTTCATTTATTGACTTAATCAAAACCAAATTAAATTTAATATAGCCTTATGTGTTCAATCTCCTCCTCACGTCACTACCTCCAGCAAATAAGCTTTCGAAATCTTCTTTGCATTTACGTACATGCAATGCGATATCCGGTATAAGCTTTGAATCAGTATTCAACCACAAAACAAGCCTGTAATTTCGTAACACTGTCGAATGGAGGAAACACTTTTATGCATAAAAAAGGACTCAGAATAAAATGATAAAATAATAAAAGAATAAAAGAAAAAAATGTAAAATACTTGAAACATTGTACCGTGTGCATAAGAAATAAAAATGAAATTAAAAAGTTTTTTCCACGCTGATAATGAAAACAAGGTAACAAAGCATGAGGAATGTCCTTTGGCCTGATACCAAAATTTCAATTCTTCATAAGCTTTAGAAGTTCGAAAGTATTATGTGAATATTTTGTTGACATTCAACGCGAAATGGGGAATTTACAAAAGTTAACGATGCTTTAATAGCGAAAGGTGACGTTATGCAGTTCGTTACACAGCCAATACTCCAATTTGGCTTGGGTGTTTTTAGAGTGGAATGTGAAATGTTGACAGCCCAAAGTCATTCCGATTTAGAAGGTTTTTTTGTATATGCAGAAGAAACTATACATTTCCCTTCAGGTATGTTCTTTTTTTCACATTTTCAAATTTTAAATCATACAAAGAGGAACAGAACGTGGACAAGAGTAGAAATAGCAATGCGAAAAAATAATAGTGGTTTAAGCTTATTATTTCAAATACTTCTCCTGATAGGATTCAGTAACAGATTTAGGTCAGCAAGAAACATTTATTTTTTGTTCTTACAAGTCTGTTTAAAATTGGTTTCGTGAAATTTTGATATTGAGCTTAACATCTTTGGTTTAAATTTCCTGAGCGGTTTCACTTCAGGGTTAAAAACTTTTGAATTAAAATTAAAAGCAGTTTTTCTATTCGGCTTGAAGCTACTAATATCATAAAAATTGGTTAAATAATAAAAATTTTAAAAATAAATACTTAAATAAATGATCATTTCCATAATGTACAAGAGTCACTATATATTTTGTGACTTTAAAGCTTGGAATTTTAAACCATTTGACTATATTCGAGAAGTGCGTCTCAAAAAATAAAGGAAATAACTCGTAGATATTTTAATAGGGGCGGTGCTTCAAACCAGATGGATTGTTGATTTTAATATATGACGAATCATTGAACTGTGCATTAGAACCTATTATTAAACAGCAGTCAATTTTATAGGTTTTTTTAAAAGAATAAAACTTAACAAAAGCTTGCGCAATATTTCAATAGAGATAATCATCTCTTTTTTAAAGAATAACTGGACATATGGCAACAATGTCATTATAGCCATGAAAACAGTGGATAGTGATAGTACGATAAAACTTTAGACGTAGTGGCAAAAAATTGCAAAGCTACTAAATTATTAGTAAAAAAATTAGAAAACTTATACCGTTTAAAGCTGGCAAGTAATTCGTATTGCCTGTTTTGTTCAGATAAACTTAAGAGCCGGGACCAAATAATTAGAGACTGTTTAAGATTTGTAGATACTAGAGAAAATCTCGATACAATAATCGGGGAAATCAGCTCTTCTTCCATGATGAAGCGGATGTTGACAAGCATTGAAGAGTGAAGCCTACACAAGTGCATAATCTCTAAAACAATAAAGAGGACGAAATACTTAGTACGAAATCGAAGTAAATCGCGCATGTATAACTCAATGAGTCGGCAAGTAAATGGTCATGTTGGAGATAATGGTTTTTGGAGATTTCCATAATGGTGTTATTTCTAGTAAAAAAAAAAATTAAATAGAAAATAATTTTAACGAATGCAAAAGTGTAAAGATTATATATATTTAAAATGTTTAAACAAAATTTTAATAAATCCCATTAACAAGAGCACAAATTTGTTTGCATATATTTCTATGAAACAAATATGACAGGATTTGATTGCCGACACTGTTTGAAGTATAAATGGGTTAAAGTTACGCACCCGATCCAAGGTGTAACTTTGCTACCACGGTGATCATTACCTACAACTCGGCTGTTCTGATCAAGATTTGTTCATTCAATGAGAGTATCGTTGTGGGTGTGGTTAAAGCCACGATGAGGAATTGCTTTTCACAACTAGATGCTATATCCCAAACTACAACAGAAATGTTAGATGTGCCTTACTGCCTCTCACAAGGAAACTATATCGAAATATATTGTTTCAATTAGTACCGGCGGAATTCCTTAATATTGATATATTGCATTATACTGAAACGTGTGTTAAGAACACAGTGGAGTTATTATTTATTATAATTGCTCAGAATTTATAAAAGTCCTTATTTTTTATAACATTCTCTTGAATTAAAGTTTATTTTTAAGCTGTTATTAAGTTTATGTATTTATTATTAGACAGAAAAAGACAGTGTTCTGTTCATAATGAACTACAACTTTGCAATAAATTGAAAATAAAAAGTCTTATATGGATGGATTTGAAATGTGTCAATAACTTGTAAAAAGTCGTACAAATTTACATGTGAAATACAATATCTATTCAAAGACTCAACCAGATAAAAATGACACAAAATATTTTTGCTTAAAACTTTAGTCAAAAATTCAAAAGGTAAATTTATTTAGGTAATCCATATACAGTACTGATATATAGAATTACTTACCTACATAGTACTTTCATGTACATGTGTATAAAATGATTGCATAAAGTTTTTGTGCCATTATCCACACATCACCAAATCGCAGTAGAGTCACAAAACTTTGCAAAATTTTTCTCGAAATAATCTAATTCCCTGTTTAGCTCACTTCTTGCCAATATTTACACAACAAAGTTTGCCGTTTATTTAAAAAACTTTGTCATGCTCGCATTCAGTGTTTAAGTGAAAGTAAACTGAAGCTGACTGAAGCTGACTGAAGTTGCCCATGAGAATATAGTATTTTGCCCATTATTTGGATAATCTTTTTATGTCTTCTCTTCTGAAAAATATTTACGGAAGACGGAAATGTTTCTTCCGTAAAGTTAATCTGCTCAATTTTCCCCCCCCAATATCCAATACAAATCACTAATGGGTAGCACATTGTTCATTAGCAGTTCTTTCTTACTTTTCTCATCATCAGTGAGTTCGATATATTAATTAGTTAACAATTAATTAAATATGAAACTATTCACTACTCAATTATTAATGCATAAAAGTTTTCAATTAAAATAAATGAACCTGTGTTGGTCAATAAAAAACTGATTGCTTCAATAGGAATATATATGAAAATATTGATATATAACAATTGAGACGGAACTATGATTTATTGCAGTTTGTCATACGAGTATATGTACTCGTATGACAAACTGTATTGTGAACTGTATTGTAAAGTAGTGCTTTTCATAAATTCATTGTGGGATACTGAACTGTAAAGTGTAAATGTGTAAATGCAATATCAGAATAAATAAAATATTTATAAATGCGTTTGTAATGTTGTAATGTTGATGAAATAAAAAATCAAATTTAAAGTTTTTGCTGCATATTTCCTGTACGACATGAAATATTGCATTACAGTTAGTATATGTATTTTATCCTTAAATATCCTTTTGTGTATTATTAAATGGCATGGCTTTATTGTTTATGTTTACTTTTTGTTTTCCCTCCTTTTTTATAACTTAATAAACAATTTTTTATTCCTTTTTTATTTCAGTTTCATAATTTCCTGTGAACTCTTGAAAAAAGTATAAAAATTTATAAATTAAATATGGGCTCTCAGGAGGAGCGTTCGCCCAAAAATACGGGTAAGTAAAAGAGTAAAAAGTGAAATAAGCAAATGATTTCAAACTCAAATATTTCCTTTTTATGATTTCATACTTTTTTGTAATTTTTTAATATTTGTTAAAATATTTTTGCGGATTATGCTCAATAAAATTTAAATAAACTCAAGTAAAACAAGCAATTCACTCTTTACTCTTTACACAGTAAATATGCACAAATCCTTACAAAAATAGAAAAAGTTTATTTAGTGTTGAACTTATGAAATACGATAAAAAAATTAATATTTATACATTGTACATGAATAAGTAAATATTTAGGGCGAGTATAACTCGGTATTTTTCACTTTGCAAAATATAAAAATGTTACGCTCACACTTATACACAAATTGAATTTTATGCGAGGTTAAACTCTAAGTTTCTTCAAATTTTACAAAATAATTAATATAGTTAGTTATATATAAAAGTATGTATTTAAATAGAGTAAAAACTCTGTTAAAGGATTACATATCTTTTTATTGTGCACTGTTGTTAATCTTTAACTTTATCACAAAAAATACGTGCAGAATTGCTGCTCTCGACGGTGCCCGCTTAAGGAATGATTTAATTAATATATATATTCATTAATATTTAAAAAATATATTAATGTATATTTCAATTCTTTAAATAAATTTAAATCCTATTGAAAAGAAAAATATTTTTTTAGAGTAGTTGTTATCAAACCTGTCGCAGATGTGGGGAAGACGATGACAATGCCTCTCATCTACTATGTTTTTGCCCAGCACATGCACGGCGGCAACTAAACACTTTAGGTGTCCCCTTTCTTGAAGATCTTAATTAATTACAAGACCTGATACTAAATAGCATTTTATGTAGGCCTCGCCAAAAAAAACCTAGAGAAGTTGTTAGTTCACTTTATAAATAATCGTCTTATATGTTTTCAAGAGCAGTTAAAATAATACTCCACCCTAAGGAAAAAGTCAAACAAATTTCGAAGCGTGAGCGATAGTTTAATAGATTACTATATAATAATAAAATAAAATAAAATCTAATCTATAAGCTTTTATTTTTTATTTACATCAGTTTTTTTTTAATTAATATTTAAGTTTTAATTTGAATTGGAGAGCAAGGTACGTTCAAATCTATTCAGTTACAATGTTCTGCTTGTATATATAATATTAATATTATAATAAATTTCGTTCATTCATATATAATATTATTATTATGTACGTATGAACATAATATATGAACTGAATGGTCTTGAAAGCACCTCGATTTCCAATACAATTACTGTACTAACACGTCACTATATAATTGGGAGGCATGGCAACTGCATAATTACTCTATTTTCTTTATGAGTGAGAGAAGGAACGAACGATCTTGTTCATCTGCTCTGCAATTGCCTGACACTCGACAAAAATTAAGCATCTATTAACATTTAGCTTTCTTGAAATAATTACCAAAAATTTCTCATGTAAGAATTTGTCTGTTTGTTTACACCAGTCAAAGATATACCATATATATCTTTATTATAAATTAAGTCATAATTGACTATTCCAGTATCTTATACACATCATTTGTTGATTCAAAACGGCTTTATTGGCTAATTGAGGAGGACAACTAACTATACTTAGCATATAATGGATGAGACGAATTTTCAGCTAGTTATAGTTTTTATATAGATTCGTCGTCAGAATACTCATAACTGCTAAGTAGAAATAATAAAATAATGAACTTTATTTTTAAATTGTAGGATACGAGCATTACTGTAAGCTGCACTTAAAATTAAAAAAAATACTTACTTAAAATTAAAAAATTAAAAGAAAACTATTTTTTGAGATCAAAACTTTTTACATAATCACAAAATAAAATTTGAATGCTTCCTAAATGCACATCGAATAGTATTCGTTCTTATCCCTATTATCAGTATTTAATTTGATTTGCTATTTAATTTGAAATAGTATTTTATTTTCTCTGCTGTTTTAGTTTCTGTAAAATTATTCAAAGCGATTAGTGATGCGTTTTTAATTTATTGCAGATGTCGCGACCGCTTTTGTGACACTCATGTTAAAACTATTTAAATTTTCCGGTGCATTAATCAGTAGTTTATCGGAAGAGGTGACCAAAAAGCACAATAAACGATAAAAAGGGAAACTCTAAGAACCATTTGTTGCCCTTTTCACAAAATAACTGAAACGGAAAAAAATTTAGATTTCCTTAATAATCCTAAAACGAGTTGATTTCTCTATTTATCAAATTAGGATTGCAGATGTACAAGTGATTTATATATATTTGATATATCATATATATATACATATGTCAAATATTTTAAGATTTAACAATTTTACTTAGTAGTCAACATTAAACAAGTTTTAATTTACTATCAATGTTACTATAATTTGTTGTATAAAGTTATTTAAAGATATTAATCAGAGCAACATTTTTATCTCTATTCATCTATAATCAACTGAGGTGCACCACTTCAGTTGCTCTTGAATAAGAAACCACACATCAAAATGGCAATCCTTTGTCACAAAATTCTTAGAACAAACTCGATATCTTAGATTTCATGTTGGTAAGAAAGTTTATCCTCAAAAAAGGCAAACTGCTGTAAGCTTATTATTTTACTTATATTCCTCTTAAAATGTGAATTGATAACTATTTTGTTACCAATTTCTCATTTAAGGGTACTTCTACCTTCTTCAACAATATTTATTTGCTTATTTATTTTTATAGTTTAATACTCCAAACTTAACGAGGTACCCGTAGCTTTTGCCGTGGTACGTCGTAAAGCACATAATTTACAAACCTTTTAACTTTTGATTTGCTTGTATACTTCTATCCATATATCCATCTATGCGGTATTATTAATTTTATTATAGATTCGATAGGTGCGCTTATGCATTGACTTAGGTTATCCCTTCGGTTAACCTTTTAACTTAAACACGAAGCTAGATGTTGTGTGGGTACTTATACTGCCATTTTTCTATCCACATACGTTGAAAACTACCCCTTCATAGAACATAGCTCATAGCACAGAAGTGCACAAGGTTCTGCTTACGTCTAAGCAAAAACATATGAAATATGAGGGTAAATCTTTGTATAACTTATTTATACTATATATTGTAGATACTTACTTGTGTATTATTGTTATTTTTATTATTTCTGTTTTTTCTTATGAAAAATAAAAAATTCCATTTCCATTAAAATGGAAAAGCCAAAAATATAATTGAATAAATTGTGAGGTCGCTCATAACAAATGCATACATTACAATATGAAATTATGTACATTTTCTACAGAGATACAACAGTACATACTTATACACTCACACTTATGTATAACACAAAAATATGTTAATACGGAATATTTTTATGGTGAAATCCTCTTAAATCTTTCTTATTTGCATAAACAAACACAGACTCCACTAATGCGGCACACACTTTAAAATTTGATATAAAGGGTGTTCCAATACGAATTCCTTCGCTCTAGTTTTGATAGAATATTTAATGAGTTATACGCATAACTCTTTATTGTTCGTATTAAACTCGTAAGAGTGAAGTTAAAGGAAATCAACCTAGAAAAAACCATTCTCAAGGGCAAACGCGTTTCTTGTTAATTCTGCCATTTGGCTTCTCTTGTGGTATGAGTTTTAATGGCTTCTCTGCTTCCCTATTTCGCTACTTCTTTATAATTAATATTTCAATAAATCTTTAAATCGTGCTTGTAAGAGATTTATGAGTACTTAAATTAATAACAGAATAATAAAAACTGTTGAAAGTTAGCGTTAAACCTGTTATTAACCTATCACAATATATAACGAGTATAAGTGGAAACCGGTTGTGTTGAAAATCCATTAAGGACGTGTGCGAGTTAGGCTAAGTTGATGCTAAACCAAATGGGAGATTTTTTGGGATTTTTTGCACTGCACACATTTTGCCATTTATCAACACGTATCGACACATCAATACATTATCGACACAACTTAGAATTTCCCACATTTAGAACGCAACTTAGCCTAACTCGCACACGACCTAAATGTTATTTTTTATAGTTAAATCAAAAATTATGAGTACAGGAACTCAACACTGTTGTAAATAAGGCATATTATATTATATATATTACATAATATCCCTTACATAATAATAGACGTAATTTTTTTCTTTCAGAGTAGCAAAAATATACTGGCAACTTACGAAAGAAAATATGTGAAGCAACAACAATGCTCTTAAAATTTTCAGAGTTAGATTTTACTCGTAAAAAATTTTAAATCTTAAGTTTGAGTGCGGCCAAATTTAAAAATCAATCTATTGTGAATGTTGACTGAAAATATGTTGCAAAATTCCAGTCATCCGTTAAACTCATATGGACATTAATTAAAGCATTGAGTAAAAATATTTTTACTCAATGATTAAAGTCACCAAACTCTTATAATTGTGTGTAGAATATAGAGTAATATGCACTGCAACCCAGATTGACAATTGTGGTGTCTTAATCGATCACTCTGTATTTATTTTTAGAGCATATATTGACTCTATTAAATGTATGCGTCAAATTTTATGTTCATGAATTTATTTTTGGTGATATATGGTATTAAAGATTGATAAAACAAAAAACTAATCAGTTTTTATGTATATAATTTATTCATCTCCTTAAAAACTTAATACTTAATCCAACTAAATAAATTTCAAACAATTTTTGAGATATAATTAAGCAGTCAAGATATCCTTCATATTTATAAGATAAAAAAAATTATTGTGTAATGTTAATAAAGAAAACAATTTATTCTGGTTTTTATAATTAAATATTTATTCTATGTCTATGTAAAATTTTTGAATATTTTAATATTCTGGCTATTGACTTAAGTTTATTAAAAGTTTTGCTAACTTAACTTTAAAGTTTAATTTTCTTTAATATTCCATTAGAGTCTTCATCTTCAAAGAGTCTTCGAATGTGTGACTTAATTAGAGGGTTTATACAATATACATTTATTAATATATCAGTTGTTTTATTTTTACACTTTTTACAC